GAACGGTTTCTTCTCCTTCTCGTTTTTGGCATTTGGGCATTTTGGCTTGACGTGCCCAACTTCTCCACACCCATAGAACTTGGGTGGTCCTCCATGCTTTTTGCCCTTTCGTTCATACTCTTTTCGCATGAACTTGTGGAAGTTTTTTTATGACGAGCTCGAACTCGTTGTCCTCATCGCTTGATTCCTCCATGGCGGGTTCTTGGCTTGAGGTAGCCTTGAGTGCAATCCCCTTCTTCTTTTGTTCACCTAAAGAAGGGAATAGAATGGTGGACTCATAGGTTTTGAGGTTACCTCTAAGTCCGTCAATGGTGACGTTGGTGATGCCGATGGACTCTTGAATGGCATCGGCTTTGGAGCGCCACTCCGGTGTGAGACTTCGCAGGATTTTTCTCACAAGCTCCTTGTCCGTGTACGTCTTCTTGAGAGCATGAAGATCATTGACGATTTTGGAGAATCGTTCAAACATCTCATCGATTTTCTCGTTTTCCTTCATACGAAGCAATTCATATTCTTGGGTTAGAAAATCAATTTTAGCTTCTCGGACTTGATCCGTACCTTCGTAGGTGATTTCTAGTTTGTGCGACAAGAAATCTTCTGGTAGTCATCCGGGTTAACGGCACAATAGATGATGTTGATGGCCTTGGCATTGTTTTCCACCTTCTTGATGTCTTGTGCATCATATTCATCCTCGGTCTTAGGGACGTTGGTTTCCTCGACCTTCTTCATTGGCACGTCCTCACCATTTTTGATAATTCTCCAAAGGAGAATGTTGGTGGATTGGATGTAAATCCTCATCCGCTCCTTCCAATAGGTGTAGTTTGTTCCATCAAACAATGGAGGCCTCGTGATGGATTGCCCTTCACCTAAACCTGCGTATGAACTTTGAGAAGAAGCCATTGATCATTTCTCTCAAGCGGTTAAGTCTTTCAGAGAGTATGGCTCCGATACCAATTGTTAGAATAAAGGCCCAACGCTAGAGGGGGGGTGAATAGCGTTTAAAACAAAATCGCAGGAAATTAAAAATGAGAGCGTTAAAGAAAAGAGCGTAAGGAAGGAGCACACCGAATTTTATCCTGGTTCACCACAACGTGTGGCTAATCAAGCCCCCCGAGAGACTCTCTCGAGCTACACTAACTCCATTAAGCTTAAGGGTGCTTAACAAACCGATACAACTTGAGAACCCAAGTCACACGAGCCTCAACACCTTTGCTGGGAGATACCGCACTCCAAGGCTTCTCACGAGGGAACAAGGAACCTCCTTCGAGTTTACAACAAGGGAACAACCTCCCTTAAAGTGTATGAAAACACTTAAACACTCAGGAATAAAACTCTCACAAAGAGTAGATATGAGTGAACTAGTAAACGCTCAAGAACACGACAATTTCTTCAAGAATTGGCTCTCAAATAGCTAAGAAAAATAGGAATGCTTATGCAATGAAAGAGTATTGAAATGTTAAAGAATTGTGTGTAAAATGAGAGGATTTGGGTGCCATTTTATAGCCCAAAATGGGATAAACCCGTTGCTAGAATTTCCAACACGATGAAGACAAATTTTTCAGGGACACAGGCTGATAGTCGATTATCTAAGCTTGATAATCGATTATCAAAAGATTCCTTGTCCAAAAATTAAAAATTCTATCCGTTGGAGGACAACGGTAACCCAGATAATCGACTGTCAACAAGTGATAATCGATTATTGGTCCTCTCAGAAGAATCTTGGTTTTGGCTGCAAAGACTGATAATCGATTATTGCATAAGTGATAATCGATTATTGCGTGCTTCAGAACTTTGGGAGTTCAAAGCTGCAGGGGTTGATAGTCGATTGTCACTAAGGTGATAATCGATTATCACCTAGCTAAAGTCTAGCCAGCTGAAACCCATTTTGAAAAACCGAGGTCCAAAAACGAAGTGTTCCCAAAAGTAAAACCAGGTTTGAAAAATAATGTATATGGTATAAAATAGTGAAAACAAGACTTGTTTGCTAAAAACCAAGTCTCCAAGGTCGTACAATACGTGCGTACGGTTTTGACCGTTTTTCACGTGTTAGACCGATTGGCCAAGATACAAAAGTAGTTTTTATAAAGTAATTATTTCGGAACATTTTAAAAATGCTCAGAGGTAAAAAAAGGGTATAAAATATTGAAAACCACGGAGTTGGTTCGGGCGCCAAAAACCGAACGCCTAAAGCCGAACGCCGACTTAGGTGGTTTCGGTTCCGAGCAAGGACCAGGGATTTTAACAATAAAAGAAATCATAAAAAATGTTTGTTTTGATGCACAAAAAATATTTTATGATTTGTAAAAATTGTTTTGAATTTTTTTTGAGAACCGAGACTTGAATTTATTGTCGGTTTTGATCACAAAAGACCGACTCTGTAACGCCCCAAAAATAGGCCTATCAGAGTTAATTAATTTATAATTAATTAATTACTGAGAAGGACCCAAAAATAAGTAAATTCTAAAGTTTGTCAATAAATAATGAAAATTATATCAATGTGTAGAGTTTGACTGTCTGATCCCAACGGTTCAATCGGATTTCAATTTGGAGAAAGTTGGACCAAAAAGTGTACCCCGATTGGGACCAAAATTAGTCCCAATCAGGGACTTGCGTTTGCAGCCCGTAGAAATCGCCGCTCCCTCCACTGAGACGCCACAACAGTAGCAGAGGGAGTCATCAACCATGTCTTCATTCCATTACTCCCTCCTATTTAAACCCCTCCAAACTTCACCATTTCGTCACCATTTTCCTTCAAATAAACTCTGAGAGAAAGCTGTGA